AGGCATTACGTAGGTGGTGGGGTGGGTGCCGAAAGGCCAATGAATTGGGCTCTTGAGTTTTGTAATTTTAGGTAAGCTAGGACCGTAATGTAATGAATAGGTAGGTTAAGGCTACGTTGTAACACATACTCATTAATAGATTTAGGGTTTAAGTTTTATATTAATATTACTAAGTTGGAGCCCAAGGCTCTATATCCATCAAATAATCTCTTCCTCCTTACCTGATTTTTTTACTCTTACTGAAACTTGGCACGAGGACTCTAACTCTCCCTCTCTTATTCTTGCTACTCCTGATGGTTACAGCTTCCTTGAACTCTCTAGACCTCCAAAAAATCTTCTATCATCTTCTCATTCTTCTTATGGAGGTATCTGTCTGTTTTATAAATCTCTATTTACTGCTTCCATTAATACTTCCTTTCACTTTTCTTCTTTTGAATGTCTTGCTGTATCTCTTAATTCTTCTTCTCTATCTTTCTATATTGCTGTAATCTATCGCCCTCCTTCTTCTTCTCTCACTTTATTTTTAGATGAATTCTACTCACTCGCTGAATCTCTCTACTCTTTTTCTATTCCTTTCTACATCTCTGGTGATTTTAACTTGCACTTCAATAATTTATCATGTTCTTACACTTGTAGGTTTAATGATATTTTGTCTCTTTTTAACTTAACTCAATATTGTTCTTTTCCTACCCATACTTCTGGTAACACTATTGATTTTATTATAGCTTCATCTTTTTCTAAGCCTATTTACATCTCTGCTAGCTCTGTTCCTTACTCTGATCACCTTCTTATTGAATCTGTTTTTTCATTAGATTTTCTTCCTTCAAATTCATCTATGTCTATTTCTAAAAGATGCTGGTCTTCTCTTAATAAAGATATTTTTCTTCAATCTCTTACTGAACCTATTTTTGATACTACCTTATTTTCTGATGATGATTTTGTCTGTGCTTTTAATATCTACATTACTTCTATTCTTGATAAGCTTATTCCTCTTAAATCTTTTACTTATAGGCTCTATTCTCGTAAGGCTCCTTGGTTTGATTATGCTTGTGTAGTAGCCAAGAAAAGTCTTAGAAGACTGGAGAAAGCCTATAGGTTAAATCCATCTAACTCTCTTTATTCTATCTATGAATCTGAATTGATTAATTATAAATATCTACTATTCTCTAAACACTCTACTTTTCTTAGAAATTCTATAACATCTGCTTCAACATCTAAAAATAGGTGGTCTGTTCTATCTAAACTTCTACATAAAAAATCTTCTCACTCATCTTTCTCTGCTCAACAGTTTCATGACTTTTTTGTGAATAAAATTACTTCTTTAAGAACATCTAATTCCAATTTTCCTTCTCATAACTTTACTAAACTTACTACTGAATCTTTCTCTGTATTTACTCCAA